CACAGTATAGATAAATTTTACATTAACTATGAGTGATAATTTGTTTTATGTGAGATAATCTTAGTGTTCGAGTACAAATTTCTAGCATATTGCAGAGTAGAATTACCGAAATTTCAAATATCTAATTTTTAACTGTAAAATTAATATGAGAATTTTCACTTCTTAAAATTACCTAAATAGCAGCTTGTATGAACTAGTGCACCAAAAAAATCTACAACCTGACTGTTCTATTTTGATGAAACCCATCTTCAACTCTAGTATTTCGAGATTTAATTTTCTGTTGCTGTTTGTTAGCTTTTAATGCAACGTTCATTTCGTAAAATTGTTGGGGGCGAATGGGCTGAGTTGCTTTGGAAATTCTCTTTCGTAGCTATGAATTAAATTAGTCATGATAAATCATACGAAGAAGAGCACATATTCGTGTTTTTAATTCCATTACTTACTTGCGGTTTAAATGTTTCTACACCGGCTAAATGTTTACGGATAAGCTCAGCATTTGCAGCAGTTGTTTCTGTATCAGTAAATATTCCATAAAATAGGGTGGAGTAAATAACTGTTTCTTATTTTAGTATAGGACACCAAAGAGCATGGAACAGAATTGGTATCCTGAATGTTTGTGCTAAATATATGTCAATTCGAGCATACCTTCTAATTTCGCGTCTAATCTTTGAATGGAAGCTAATAATCTTTTCTCTTCTATCGATAAAGCGCTAGGCTTGACTTGTTTCTTTTTTGGTGCATTTTTTGCTTTTAATAAATCTTCAATTTGACTTTCCGATAGACTTTTTTTGCATAGGCTTTCGGCCATGATGAAATGAGCAACACTCTCGCTCACATTATTAGCTAGTAGGATTAAAAATGAAAGCCTAATTGTTAAATAATAGCAAGCTAAAGTAATAACGTGTTAAAAGACAGTAATAATCATTTTTGTTATATTTAGTAACATTAATTAGTGCTTGAGTAAAGTTGAAATAGGGTCGTTTGCAATAACATGTATGTATATCACATCGTAGGAAGAATTATAAATATCAAACAATACGCATACGTAAATGTTAAATTGGCGGAATTGATGCTAAATCAATTATATTATCGCTTTCTACCTTCATATAAAGTGTTGAAATCTGCTTTCTCTAATGATTTATTTGCAGAGCTCCTAACTGGACCATAGGTAGAGGATCGTGGAATAGTTCTATTAAAGCTATTTCCTTCCACTCTAGTCTTGGACATTGCCTTTACGCTATTAGGATAAGGTTTAGTATGTTTCAAATTGATCGGTTGTTTTACTAATGAACGCGTACGAAGGCGAATTTTAGCTGATGTCGAAGGTTTAGCTGATGAGACTTTTCTAGGAATTCGTGATGATGCTGAATCTTGATCCTTGAGTAAAACAGTATCACTCTGTGCCGAAGTAACAGATGATCGTCTAATTTTATCACTAGGCATTATTCGTTTTGAAATATTCAATCCTGTATTTCTTAACAGATTTCGAGATTTATCGTCATCTTTCTTCTTTTTATTTTCAGATTTTGTTCCTGATGGTATCTCTAAACATTGTTGTACTTTATTCCATAGCCAGCTGACTTCATCTTCTGTTGGTACATTGTCATTTGTAGGATCTTCAACAGCAGCAAGAGATTTAAATGAATGATTACTTTTTATTTTACCTTGCAAAGATCCTTCACTTCTAGATCGTTCTATTGGTTGTTTTGGACGTTCCTGATATTGACGAGGAGATATTGAAGATTGATTCAGCTGACTTTGGACATCTACAATCTCTTCATTTTGATATTGTGAAGATGTAGACGTTTGACTTAACTTCCACGGATCAACTGAATCATCATTATTGCTACTTTTATCATCTTCTTCGTCATAACCGTCTTGACTTGGTTGCTTAGAGGAAGAAATTCGACCGCTTTCTTTCGCGGTATTGCGCTGATGATAATTGATCTTCTTTTGATAATGTTTGCCATGATCGTCATCTTGTTGCTGATTTCTTTCATTTGATAATTGTAACTTGTTAATCTCATCGACAATTACACTAACGGTAGCATCAAAGTCGTCAGAGAGTGAAGATACATCGGATAATCCATGATATGATGCCGTATCAGCAAATCGAACAGATTTAGTTGATTTTGCACTACTAATTCGATCTTTCTTGGTACCGGTATCTTCACCAGTTTGACTGACGGTATGGAGATCATCATCATCATGTAATGGAAATATTAAAGAAGATTTTGATTCTTGTAAGTTTAGATTAGGCTCAGAATCTGTAAAGTTTTGCTGGTTTTGAGTATTGCTATAACCAGTTTGAGGTAATTCAGAATCCACGTCTTTATTGATATTCTGACCACGCCGTCTATGGTCATCATCAGATAATTTAGTACTTATTTCATTCTCTTTTCGAGAATGTTCCCCTTGAGTATCATGAATCGGTGCATCTATTTGACGATGGTGTGCCGATAATGGTCTAATGCTACTGCTTTGTGATGGAATTTTAACGCTTTCCTGATGATTAGGACTATTTTGATGCCTCAATAACTGAAATGGCGTTAAATCTAAGCTATCAAATAGTTCGTCGTCATCATCGTCGATAACATTAGCTAATAAATTGTTAGAGTTGCTTTTATGCAAAGCCGATCCATGGCCGCTTTCCATCGATGGCTGAGAATGAATTTCAGGTTTAGTTTTTATACTAGTGCATTTACCCTCTCGAATGCTTACTCTACCTATTTCAAGACTATCTGCACTTGATAACTCATCGTCAGTATCTAACTGTTGTCGATTACTATCCATTTCTGCCACTTTATTGATCTCATCAATTTGATTAATAAACGCGTCCTTCTTATGCTGGGTCGAGTTGCCTCTAGGCTTGGATGTTTCTGGACGAATTGTTGTTGATTGATATTTAGGCACATTATTAGATTCGTCGGTATAAGCCAAAGCATCGTAGTCATCATTTATTGGAGATTCGTTGCCACCTAGAATAATATCTTGCCTTGTTAGCCCACTCGATTCATAATAACTAAGAATTTTATCATGAGCGCTATTATTTTTTCGTTTATTTGATTGAATATCACGTTTAATCATGAGGTTTGGCGTTATTCTCCCTCCTGTTTTAAGAGATGATAATTGAAATGAAATAAAAGGGAGAACAGAGTATGTGGATATTCATATAGTAGTAATTGATGTTATCAGCACTCAAAGATTCAAAGAGCGTAGATACTTAGCCACTAAATAATTTAGTTAAAGAAGCAATGATGAGAAAGTTTAGACCTGTAGGATAGAATGATGCTCTATCTTATACGTTAGTATTAAAAGATAGAATAGTATCATATACTGTATCACGAGATAACGCAAAAATTTAACTATTCAAGCTTAAATATTTAATGTGCATAGAAGTACCGCATGAGACTAACTAGAAGCAATTGAGAACAGATAATTAAGTAGGAGAAACATAGGACATTAAACTACTGTACTGAATCAATTAAAAAATAAACTGATTACCTTTATTCTCACTCTCATCATCCTGTTGTCTAACAACACTTCGCATTTTATTTACTTCTTGGCCTATCTTTCTTCTTCTACTAGCTAATAATCGCTCACGTTCTTCTGCTTCTTTCTTTAATTTCTTCATTTTTTGTTGTTCATATTGCCTATATAACAAATGATTGGATAGTGTAGAAATTACCACTTTCGATCTAGGCAAGAGAAACACATTTTACCATTTGTCGTCTCGCAGAAATCTAGCTATCGCAACTCATTTTACTTACTTCCTTCTTTTATTATTTTCGCGAAATATTTGTTTCTCTTTAGCTTTATCTGATATCCTTTTCCGCTCTTCTTGTTGCTCCATCAGGCGTTCCCTAATAAAATTTTGATATTTTTGGCTAACGATACGTTAAGGGGCACCTAATGATACCTTCACTTTGAGAATAGTTTCATTACGATCCGACGTTGTCAAATACGTATTGCATCAGGTAGATAAGTAAGCATTTACTAATTTATTAAATTGTTGACTATACAACTATATAACTCACTTCTATATTTACTAATCATCAAGATACAGCTAATCATATTACAACAACCAACTGCAGGAATAATATATCAGCATACTGGATTAACGGAAAATAGCATGGAACAAAAACTTTATTCTACCTACAAATAAGATATTTTAACAAACATTGTATCTACTTTAAGACTACTACATATGACATCGATTAAAGAATATACAAACAGTAATAATATTTTCTACATAAAGTTATCCATTCTACTGAGAGAATGCGATATTAATCTATCCTATGAAGTGAAAGATGAAAGAAGGATTTCATCTTTACTCAAGAATAAATCATTGTAGTAAGTAATTTTTTAATCCGGATACGAATACGCTCTACCCTGGGCGTTTAAGGTTGCTCGATTAGCCATAATTTCGATTAATTTGATCGATTCTAACCACTTACATGAATTTTGACTTGTTGGGACATTTTTGTAACGGTAGTAATGGCAACGTCAATTGCAGTTAAAGTCATCCTATCCAGAGTTGACTTAATTGTCAACAAAATGTCTATAGAAGATCATAGTACATGAAGACATATTTGGGTATCTACACTCTGCATCTGTATCGTCTGCAGTGAAATTGATACGAGCATGCGTCATCGAGACAAAACAATAATAAAGTAAATACGTCAAAGCAGCCCTCCTAAATTTGGAAACCATGGTAACAAAGATTCTTTACCTTTCGCTTATACTTGTGATTCATATCCAATCGTTTCTGCAGTCTCTTGACCATATGCACTAATTGGATGGAATTGTAATACTGATAGGCATCGAAAAAGGCTTAAACAGAGCAATATTATGGGAATAGCTGGAATATTACTGGGTTTGATAGTTGTAGGGAAGTAATGCTAAGTCATATTGATACTGATACTAAGTTGTGCGGATGTCTAATAGATTAGTGAGTTCTCAAGCAAACTTAAATACGCATTCGAAATAAAGTTTATCTTTAACGTCTACAAATGCTTGTGACTGGCTTTAATTACTGACAGGGTACTTACTTCATGTCGTGTTAAATCTTTCTACGCCATTTGATATTCCGTGAAGCTCAAGCTTGACAGCAAAGCCATATAGTGATACATGATAGTGGTTATTTTGAAGAAATTACAATCGCTTAGAATCTAGTATGTGAAATCTCGTCACCTACGCGTATAGTACTTCACTAAGAAATAATTACCAATCACTTATCGAATCAGAATGAAAATTGAGTTATTTACTCGGAAAAGCTTACGAAATAGTAGTAATTGTCTACAGAAATAATGTACGAAATCGTAATCATTGTCATACTCGGTAAAACTCTCGTACAGTCAGTATGCAGTGCACTGCATGTAACGCACAGTACAGCATGAAGAATCACTATACCAATTAATGATATTGTAAAGCGGACGCTCAGCTTTAAATGCAACTATATATTAGAATTCTGTTTTGAAACTTTCCATGAATGTACCGTAATTGAATGTATATTTACATCAATGGCCTGTGGTATCCCTTTTTTCTTAATCATTCTCTACCCAGAAAATTTGCCATTTTGTTTATTTATATTTATAATCATTTTTTATATATATTGCGATAGTCTTGCCTGGGATACAATCTGTCACAACTCTTTCAAGTAACATTAGCTAAAGTATCGCACTGTACTCTCCTAATCGCTAAACTGCTTAGAACTCCCCTTCTAGAATGACTCAGAGATAATAGCAATAGCACACAACCAACAATCTCTATCTTCATTGTGGCTTTATATATGAACTTAAATAAGATAAACATTAAATAAGTCAAAAGTAGACATCAGATTAGAAGATGTCAACTCAATTAAATTACTACAAATACGACAATTTAAACTCAGTTTAAATCTATTATTAGCTCAAATGGTATAAGAAAATCACTAGGAATTAAAAAAAAATTTTAGTATAAGCTTGAGCTTGTCAATTAATCTCACCTGAACGGACATTTAATCTAAACATTAATTGAACTGCTATCCTTTACTAAAATGATTACCAACTTTGTTTATAAATTATGCAAAATTATATTGCTGTACAATATCCTGATTTACGCGTATGATTACTGTAAACAGATCCTTTTATCTGGATTTAGTTTACTGATGTTGGCTTGACCAGGCTTTCTATCGTGCACAAGTATTCTATAATTGTTGATTGTAAACAGATTTATCTGTGGTTAGTTCACTAATTAATTGATTAATCCAAGGAAATCTATGGTATAATCTTTTCGAGCTTGTATGAATATTTGCCAGATCAATTTCAATCATTTTGGAGAATTAATTAAATATATGATAGCATATGCGAAAGAATATGGAAAGGTGGTATAGTTCGATACATTAATAGAGAAATAGAGGAATACAAGAGTTATAAAGTCTAACCATGGTTCTGTAGCTAACAATAAGCTATTATGCTATTTCTTTATTGCTAGTTTGATTGGTCGCAGTAGGAGAATCTGTTTATTTTGCTTAATATTTTGAGTATTGATCCATGTTTTAGCTATAGATTTGGCTTCTTTCAAAATAAGTTTGACAGCTATTGCTGTTTTATAAGAAGTAAAGATAGCTATTTCCCACTTAATTTATTTTAGCTTAAATTATGACTTCACAAAGTGCATAATAGTTTCTAATTTCATTCTAAGCATAGGATTTGTTAAACTCCTGCTCAAGGTAGTCCAAGATGTATTATACCTTTACGTAGAATCTAAAAAAATGCTTATAAATTTTACCATGCTCACTTTGTTGGTAGTATTATGTTCTATCAGTATCTAATATATTAGCTAGTAAGTGCATGCAGCTGCTTATTTGATCTAGGTTTACCTTTAAACCCAGAATATTAAAGCTCTTATTTGTTACATTATTGTAATATACCGAATGCGCTGTATACGAGTGTTGCGATAATGTGGCTTGGATTGAGTCAATACAAGTAAATACAGTACATACATTATACAGTATATAGCGTGCAGCATCGTATTAGAATGTCGATAATGTATTACGGTGATGTTAAGGAATGACGTTAATCGCAACAACGGGAAGGATTACCATACAGGCTTGTGATACCAATCGACAGAGCTAGAACTAGCTAGTATAGTAGAGCTAAGCTATATGGTCCTTAACTAAGAATATAGCCTACATAAGATTCGAGGACAATACTGTATACAAGCTAGTTAACACAAAATAAAATAAATAATAAAGCAGCGATGGACTAAAAAAATATTTTCAATTAGTGCTATGTAATAATTTAGTAAGATTTTAAGCATGATTCAAGTTGGATCGGAATGAGAGTATGTCCAGACCCAATTTTTCATTATTGTACACATCTAGAAATTAAATTAATAAGTCAACTGATTATACTTTCATAAATTGATTGTAATTCAATTTAGTTGCAGTTGAAGCAAGTTTGTTTTAAAAACAAAGTTGAGGAATATTTACAATAGGGCTTGGGTTAATTGATGAAAAGCAAACTTATTGTCGTATTAATCATTAACTGATATTTTATTTAGCCTGTTTAGCACATTACGATGAATTTATATGGCTAATACAGGATTGTAGTGATGTCGGTTCTTTGAAATTGGCCAGCTCTGCAGGCGGATTTGTAGTAGCCATGATACGTTTATAGTAGTGAAGAGCGTGGAGATAGATCGAATGATAGTGGTTTAAGTCGTTTTATTTAAGCGACAGTATGTGTGTTACAAGTTTGACTAACGTATAAGAGCTAGTATTAAGACGTAACGTGAAGTAAAGCGACGTAAAGAGAATTAAACCATATTCTTAGGATGATCGAGTATTTATACCAATGCATAGTACTGTGATTACAATACTGACTTATAGTGTATTACCAACATCATACAAATTACAATACAAGTTAAATGTTACGTATCTACGATACTAAAGGATAATTTACAAAATTTTAAAATAACTACCGGGTTGTCTATTTATACACACTACCAATGTTAACTAAGCCACTGTTCCGTTATAAATACAGCGGTAGAAGTCTTTCTCCATATAATGATAATGATAATTTCTAGCATTGGCTAAGGTAGATAATATTAAGCGTCTGACCCATTCACATCATAAAATATCTCTGTAAACATTAGAGTCTAATCAAGACGACATCATTTTAGGCATTCCACATCATAACGTCGGATACAAATAAAGAAAAGATGAATGAGGGATGTTATGAAATGCTTAAATTTGATTTGTAGCATAAAGAGTATATTGAAGTAAAGTAATTGTATGTCAAGGTCTTCATATTCTTACGGTACAGCCAAAACTAGATAGGTTTATATACCGTACATCTAGTGACAAATTATAAATTTAGCTCTTAACGGGAACACACAATAGTATAAATTAGATTTAAGAAAAGATACGGAAAACGATACAGCTATCATATAGTTAATTATATTGTACTTGTTATTATCAATACTTTTTTAATAATTTAAAAAAATCCTGCCTAATCTGGCTATCAAATTTTATTAAGATCAACGGATTAAAACTGATATCGATGAAGTAACGCTGTACCGAAGTAAATAAACACATATAGAATAGTACTTTCTAAGCGATATTTCGTAGA